GGGGTGGGCAGAGGCTAAATATCTTCGGTAATGTAATTGTATTTAAAATAGTATTGCACATAATATATTTGAATATCTCCTCTGGAAAATATGCTTCAGAGAATAAGATTTTAATAACAGTTCTCAGGTAACTGCATTTCCTGAAGTACTTACAGTTTATATAGGAATGAATATGATGACAAAGGAGGAGAGCATGGCTCTTGTAAGTATGTGTTTCAAGTCAACCTAATCATATAAAAAGGGATCATTAGATAAGAATGTACACTGTTGGCAACATTAGTCAGTTACAAGTACGCAAGCCCCTCTATAATCAGGAACAGTTATGTCTGTATGTAAAGTAACAGATGCAGCATTTTCATTCTAGTGCAGCTGGACTTTCAGGAGCCTAAAATAACTCATGAGGCAAAAAAGATCTTTAAGGCAGACACTGTGGATGATGGGCTGTTTCAGAAATGCTGGTGCCTGGAGGTATAATTTGTTTTAGGCTATCAAATCTCAGTTCAGATTTATCTCAAGAACCTACTAAGTGACACTGAGTTCCTAGGAGATCACAATGCTGGTGCTGTGTAGCAGTTTGAGTCTGTTGTGTCTGTGCCGTGACTGTTCAAGTGTCAAAGCTTGCTGCAGGAATGTATTTGACCAAAGTCTCTCTTCCCAGCTGCCCTTGCTATCTAGGCAGGGCTGTTTACTTTGAAGCAGCTCATGCCCATGAAACAGTTTTGCTTCCTCACAGAAAGGAAGGAGTTTTAAAAAAATGTATTTTCCTGAATATAGGGTGGAGCTTTCAAAGTATATTTAGATAGTCAAATTATCCCTTTAAAAATAATGTGAAATATGGAATTGTGCAGATGTATAGTTTCCAACTCAAATGTACAGTGTACGAACTGTTAATTAAAATCTATGTTTTCTTGAAAAATATTTGACAGATAGATGTTACAATAGGCAGAAGCCTATAGATGAAGATCGGTGCAATTTCATAAATGAGCAAAATAAAGCTATTGGACTTTGCCTGTTTAGGTCTATGAGAGAAATGGACGTGGTGATTTGTTACCACCACTGACAAAAGCATTAATAATCTAGCACTTCTTAAACTAAGTCATAGTTACCACTTGTGAAGAGGCACAAGGCTGAATAAGAATATAGAAGTACAGTGACAAATCTTTAACACAGAATAAAATCCTCAAAATATTTTCATGCAGTACAACCTACTGTAAATAATAGATTCAGATTCCCTATTAAGCTGCCTTAATAAGAGCAATATTTTCATATTTTTCTATTTTAGTAAGTAAATAAATACTGGTAAATACTATGAAACAGTCTGGGGAAACATTAAAGCCATTTTTAATTCCATAATTTCCATTTTTCATGAGCATGGAAAGCTTATATTTGCTGGTTTAGAATTTCAGGAATTAGATTATATGTTTAGCACATTGTACCAGTGGTATCTGCCAGTTATGACTTTGGAGCTCTCCCTTATGCTATATGGCTAAGAGATAGGGCATATAAAGAAGAATTTATAATTTTCTTATTTTAAAAAAATATAGTTAACAAAAAAGGGGCAACTTGTAATTATTATTTTTTTTAATAATATGGATTTGAAACTATGTAAAATTGTGGTACATTTGTTTCTAACATTATATGTAACTTGAAACAGTCTCAGCTCATTAAACTATTTTATAACAGTTCAAACATAAAGGTTTTAGCCAGCCACCTTTTTTAGACGGTGTCACTTCTGCAGGTGGCCTCACTTGTAATTGTCATGTTATTGCCACACAAAGAACTTCAAAAGTTACAGTGCTTATCATCCATAGGACTGTGCTTTAACCTGTCTTGTTATCGTAGTAATTTCCTAGACAAGGCACTTGCACTTCGAAATTTTCCAGTACTTGGGCTGTTTGCTTTTAAGTTAAACTTGTATTTAATTCTTTCTGTAAAGAATCTTATTAGGAGTACTCTAATTGTAAAGTTGTCAGTATGCAGTATAAGGTACTGCTGTAACAAAATTTTTATACTTGGGCTGTGTGTTTGCTACATTAAAAATATTAGCACTAAAATTATTTTCTACTGCTTACTGCCATCATAGTTTTGATTATATCAAAATATTGGACAGATCTGTATATCCAAAGGCTGTTTCAGATACAAGATACTTTGAATGAAATGCTTGCAAAACAGAAAATGGAAAGGGATACCCTTGCCAAAAAATGCAGGTAAGTAGAATACAAGGATTGTATTTATAGGAAGCTATTTTTTATAGCAGTAGTGATCAAGGTTGTTAGAAGCTTAGCATAAAGTAGTGTGAAAGTAAACCCATGTGGTTTTCATTCAGGTTTTGCAGAGGCGTGATCCATACTGGCTTCAGTTACCTCCAGTAAAAGTTTACATCAAGGAAGAACTTCAAGGTTTAGATAATGCATAGGAGTCAGTTACATGCACACACTGAGCTTTGAAATTAGGTAATGAACATACAAAAGGTGTGGAAAAAGATCTAAGCAGAAATTAGGAAATGGAGGTACTGAGCAGTTAGATTACTTTTGCAGCATTATGGAGGAAAGTGGTAGCAACTCAGACACTACTTTTAGTGTCCTTACTTCTGGTTTTGTTTCTTCAGCACCACTAGATTGGGAGTGCTCCACACAACCAAGCAATACCAACAGTCCACAAAAGCCACTTAGAACGGTGGCCTGGAGCATGCTTGTAGACATTCCTTTTCTGTGAGGACACCTCATTGTGAGCATGGGCTCTCTGAATTGTCAGCTTCCTGCTGCTAGCTCTCACAAGGCCTCTTTTTACTTACTTCTAAATGGGATTACCTGAATGCTGGTAATCTGGTGAGTGCTCAGTTTACCATGTAGCATCGTGTTCAATGGATGTTTCTAGGCCATCCGATCAGGATGTCTGCATATTGTTTGTGTGAGCAGCATTCGTTTGGTCATGTAAAACCAGCAAAGTACAGCTTTCAGGTAGTTCCATGGCAAAACAGTCTAGTTGAGCAAAGAGACTGACACATTTCTGTCACGTACCATTCTATCAGCTGTAAAAGGTAAAATACATAGATTACACAGATAATAAAGAAAAAGAGAGGGTTTTATGTGAAGAGAAGTTAGGATTCCAGGTCATTGTTGTGAATGAATTAGTGACTGAATTAAGAAACAAAAACTGTAAAATTAATATCTATACAAAGTTATCTGCTTTCTAATATCAAGAGTGAAACTGTGTTCCAGAGCACAGTGGTAAATATTTCTGGGTATTGTAGATACCCTGCAGCTAATGCAACAGTTATCTGTCAACAGTAATGAACTACATGCCAAATTACATTAAATTTTGTTTTTATTATTTATATGGCGAACATTTTATTTTTAACTAATTAGCATATAAGGGTTTGTTACATGATAAATAAATGTACAGAAGATTAGGAAGCATCATTATATTTTCCACCTTTCTGTTGTTCAGTTAGTTTGCCCAGGGAGAGGTGCTGCTAACACTTTTCCATTTCTGTCTATTCCTTTGAAGATACTAAGACATATATCTCACCTGAAAAAATGATGAAAAAAAAGCATAGTATTTGTTAGTGGCTGTAAGTTACTTTGCCTTTGTCATTTTAGTCATGCTGTCTTTGCCTCTCTTCAGTTGCAGCTTCTTCTGTACCTGTATAGCAATAAAGCAACAAAATTTCCCTGGAGAAACACTGCTGGAAAAGTTGAGAAGCTTCACTGGCCTGTGTGGGAGTCCATAGTTGTCAAGGCTTAGTCGTTTCAGTGATTGACTCTATGTTAGTCATATGGATTCTAAACACATGTGATAGGAAGCAATATCACAGTACAGGCACCAAAACTGTCACACTGTGGTTTGGCTGTCTTTGTTCTGCACCAACTAGTCTTGCTGTTATCTCTGTCCTGATCCCCTCAACAGTCTCCTCTCTTCCAAGACTGGGATGGTGTTACTTGCACGGCACCTCTGCTGTGAGTGGAGTTAAAAGCAAACCATGCTGCTATTCCTTTTCCCATACCTTGTGGTTCTCCATTATCTTCCCAGCATGGTGCCAGAGTGGTAGTCCCATGTCCCATGAGGGGGAATTAGGAGAAAAGACTGTTTATGCTAGGCTGGTGGCTCTTGTGCCAAACAAAGTGGGGTAAAATAAAAAATTCCCTTCTGGCAGGAAGGAGGTAAGGTGCCCCAGTGAAGGAGTCTCACAGGAAGACCAGCTCAGCTAGGGAGCAGGGTCTGATGAAGGGAGAGACATTCCCAAACTAACAACATCCTAAACTACTCTGTCCTCTTTTCTTAATGGTCATATAGTATTATTACAATCGTGTCTTCACATAATGTTTTGTTGTGCAGAACGTAAAAATTTTCTGATAGTATCATTATTCAGTAGATCATCAGAGCTTATTTTAAAAGGCTCCAAATCAGAGCCGCAAAGGCAATGAATTTCAGTGAACTACAGTGATACTTGGTGATAAAAGAGCAACCGATGGTAATACATAACCAGCTCTGATTCTGTGAATTAAGTGTAGTATAGGAAGACAAGGCTGCTACTGAAGTTTTGATGCTTTACATAGTACTTCCAGATGAGATTCTGCATTTTGTTGTACATAAGACTGAGATTTGAACTATGAACTTTATACATGATAAAAATATGGTTCAAATTTTATGTGTTGGCAGAGTCTTTTGAAACATATTTCTGTTCTTATTGGTTTACATCTATTAAACTGGTTTTATTTTGTGTTTACATTAACTCTGGTGTCCTTTTTGTTTTGTTTTATTTTTCTATAGGGCTTCAGTGCAATCTTTTAAAAAAGGATCATTGAGGAAGCAATTAGTTAACCTTGCTTCTAGGCAAAAGGGTCTGTTGATGGTGGTCCAGACTCAGGAAGAATTAGTCCAGAAAATACAAAATTACAGAAAAGCAATGCAAGTATTCAGTGCATCATGTTCAGAGAAGCAAATCTCAAACTTAATTATTTCCTATGGAAATGATAAAAGACAAAGTTTAACTGCTGATGAAATCATGTATCCTGATGTAGTTACATTTAATGTGGGGCTTGGTGCCAACATGCCTAATGGAAACAGAGTAGAAGCACATCTCTCTTCAGAAGATAGATTTTCAGCTCAGGAATGCAGCCAATATCCACACATCTGCTTGGATGAGACAGGAGCAAATAAAGCAGGAATTAGAAGCAAAGAGGCTTCTGATCATCCCTTGGCATCTGAAAACAGGGTAGGAGAATATCCCTTTGACATGTCAAAGCTGACAAAAACTGTAAAAGTGGTGATGTTGCCTTCAGAACCTGCTGTTCCCACTGCTAAAACAAAGTACTTAGAGCAAAAAGACATTGATTGTGTTACAATTGCAAAACAAGGAAATGGGTCTTTAAATCCCTCTTCAGTGACCAACACATTAAAACTTGTAGAACCCCGAAGCACTGTTGTCAATAACAATGTCGGTCAACCAGGCAGCAACTGCCAGCAGGTTCTTAGAGATGAGGATCTACACAGCTATGTAAATAAGAAAGAAACTTTCCAGCAGCAGCAGCAAGTAATATCGTCAACCTCTACAAAGAACTTCCCTGATACTCTGCAGCGAATGATCTGTACGAGTACTGAGAACTCATTTAATAACAACTTGGTGCTTACAAATCTTACCTCAAATACAGATTATCCAATAAACTTCAGTGTGAAATCATCCCAGAGCTATAGTAATCAGGAACGTGAACAAAAACAAGTGATGCATAGAAGAACAAATAGCAAAAAGCTTCAACTGATAGATCTACTTGAATTGGGAAGGATTAAGCCAGGAGAAAATGTTTTAGAATTCAAACTGCAGGTGATTGTTGTGGTATAATAACATTAATATTAGCATATAATGAAAAAAATCAAACACTGAAGTGGGCAGTTCTTATGATTTAATATGCATCTTTAGGGCTTAGTGTTGAAAACTTTTATTCATTGGTTGCAGATAATGTTTTATGTGTTTTAAAGGAAAGTGCTATGGATGACGTCAGAACTTCTGCCAGCCCTTAATTTTAACACCCAGAATATTGCATATGTAAAAATTTGTGTTTTACTTTGCATTATCAGTTTGTTAACATTTCTTATTGCTAGAACAAGAGTGGAATTGTTGGTTGGTCTACATTGTGTAATACCTGATTTTCATATTGGAAGAGAGGGAATGTTAAGATTTTTATGGTTTAATGTGATTCTTGGAAGCAACTATGAAGTCTCTCAAATAAAGAAATGTGATATCAAGGATTTCATGGTGCTGTGATAGACACGAGTATACGCAAAATTATTTGTTTACATGCTGACTGGTTCTGTAGTTTACAGTCTTGTATGAACCATATTTGAAAAAGAAAAAAAAAAACCCCAGACTTTTTTTAATACAAAAGCATGTCCCTGTGCCTCTAAATACAGATTTGCAAGGCAGCTGCCAGCGGACTGCCTTGGTACTGAGCAAACGATGGAATTATTGACTGACTTCCTAGCTCTGAGCTAGTTAATTTCCAGGGCAACATATTGATTAAAACATGAAGGGTTCTTTTCAGCCAACTCAACAGGTGTAGTTAATGTAGAAAAGCCTCCTTTTTCTGCACCTATAATCTGCTTGAGAACTCTTTTCTGCTGAGAGTGGCCATTTTATGTGTTCTTGTGTTTTCTAACATAAGGCAGTGTTAGTAAGTCACAAGCCTCTGTGTTGGGCCATGTCATAGGTATATACAAATGCTTCTTTAAAGGACGTGTCATATTCCTCTGCACCTCAGGATGTCTAAATGGAAGGAGGAGGAATTCAGTATGCTTACTGTCATTTCTCAAGGTTGTTATCTGAGATGCCAGCTTGATGCATGTGAATCTTAAGGACTTATAACACTGTATAGAAGCATTGATGTTTTGAGTGTAGAAAAGTCAGTGATTTTTATTAGAATGAAAATGACACTCATTTATGTCTTGGAAGATAGTCATCTAGAGATTGAAGTTTAGAAGCCAGTGTCTGTTGCATTGCAAAGAGGAGATGATCAATAAAGTTTTCTTCTTTCTCGTTAACAGTGATGTACTTGATAACATATTCCTTGCTTAAGGTTAGCTTTGCAGGCAGAATGCAGTTTTTGAATGCTGTAGACCTGAGCTATGAAACTGTGAACTGGGTTGAGTGTCCATCAAAATACTTGGGTTAAACATCTTAATTTAGATTCCTATAGATACTGCAAGCCAGTGGATGTGGTAGGAGACAGTTCAGTATTTGCTGGTGGATCAATTCGCTTATTCTGATTGTTTAATATCATGCATGCTAAGCAACCTTACTGTGTTCTAACACAGTTTATCAACAGCTAATTTTTGCATTATTTAGCTGTATTAGCCTAACTGCGACCAGTATAACAAAACCACAATTTACTGAACTATAAACAGTGCTTCTAGAGGTGCATGTTTGTTTGCAGAACTGGGGTGTACTAACATTATCAAAGAGGCAGCAACAATAATTTCTTTTATACTTTATTTTGTATAAGATAAAGCTGTTACATTCCTCCTAAAACATGTGAGTGATGTCCCTTGACATAAGTGAAGCTTTTATGCAGACGTTTAATGTTTGAATCCTTGCTGGGATCTAACTGTGGCATGCATTTGTTCCACACCTGTGAGGCAGATTGCATTTGAGTAGGTTTATTGTTGCACCAACTTGCCTCATGTGAGTTCTCGAGCTCACTGAGGCAAATTAATTTAATCACAATCTTGTTATGTCCAAGAGGAACTAAAATGCCAATACAGTTCTGATTAATAGACATAGGGAGACTTGTCCTCTTGACAGTGGTGTCTGTGTGGCCAAAACATCTACTGTGGTGGAATAAATCCTTAGTTTACATACCATTGTTTATCAAAGTAGCATTAAATTCTTTAAGTTTTTTCAGGGAAAACCAGAATTAGCTGCAGCTCTTCAGCTATATTCTTCAGGATTTTTTCATGTTTTAAGGATGTTAATTGAGATTGTTAATTTGTGAATAGAAAATTTTTTCTTAATTTTTCTTTTTTAGGAATTTAGTTACAAAGCCACGCTCTTAAGTAATGGCAAGATCAGAACCAGTAAGAGAACAGTACTGCAAAATCCAGTTCAGTGGGTTAAAGACCTACTAGGAGGTGATATTTCTGTGACACGAAAGTATGTGTGGAATAAGGTAGGCCTGATTTTACTCCCCAAAATAACAATAATAAATAGCAGTAACAAATCTGGATCTCCATACTGTTCTTAAAACAAAAGGGGGAGTAAGCCTGTATCTTAAGGAGTCTTACACTTAAGGCAGAAGTAGCAAAGAAAGATCTACACAGCTGTAGCTGATACGGTGGTGAACTAGTCACAAGTGTTGGAGAGAATGTAGAATGCCCACCTGTAAACTATAATTGCTTTGAAAGAGTAGTTTTAAAGATGATTAAGAGACTGACAGAAAAAGCTGAAAGGTAGTTAGAATAATAAGGAGCAAGCATATTGAAATGTCAGCATGTCAGGGACAAATGTTGCAAAAATACTGCCAGAGTTTAGAGGGCTTTACAGATGAGTTTTATTATACTTTTTTCATTTAAAATTCAAATTAGCAGAATTTCTGCTTGATCTTGACAGACAGATTAGACGGTTAATGCATAAACTCAGTTTTATAAGAAAAGTGAAATTTTTACAACTATAAGAGAAAACACAAAATAAAATGACCAGTTACCAATTTAGATTTGTTTTTACAGGTTACATATCTTGGGACACAGTTGTCAAAATTTCTTTCTGAAGAAGTGTCAGTTTCTAGTGACCTGGAATTACCATCACAAGAAAGAGAGCCTTTGGGTATGTACCACTTAAAATCTAATATTCACCATGACTGAAAGTAGCAGAAAGTGATTTCTAAAGAGCTTAAATTCAAAAATTTCTCTGTTGCTTTGTGACTTTTTTTCTGGGCTGCATGCTGATCACAGATCTTGGGCTTTAAGAATAAATAGTGCCAGAACTTACACATGATCTCTAAAGAACTAAGTTTCTTTTCTTCCATAAATTGGTTGTGTGAAGAGAGTAATTACTAATGACTTGGTTGCTATGTAGAAAATATTTATGTAACCTTTTACATTGAAAATATTTAATAAATAGTGAAATTTTTAATGAGCTAATTTAATACTTTTTTATTCTCTTGAAAACTTAGATGTACTAGCATAAGTTTTAATTGCATGTACATCCTCAAATCACATTAAATAATCTGTGTTTGTGGAAATCTCAGTATGCCCAAGCAACAGTAATAACTAGGGGGATATTTTATTCTCTAAAAATAAACAGTCATAAGAAACAGAGTACATTGATATGACAAAATGACATTGAATAATTTTTTCAGAACTGTCTGGCAGACTTAAGAACTTCAGCCTAATTTTGTTAAGTAATGTGTTCCCAGGGAAACCCAAGTCCCTTTGACTGCCAGTTGTACTTGGAGTCCGAAAAGCTTTTGGGCTTTTGTGACTGGTTCTCTTATTTTGATGAGACACTGCACCTCACATGAATATGGATACCAGGCTTGGTCTGTTCTTTGTATACTGAAAGTAAATTAAAATATAATTTAACTAATTTGATACTCAAACTACCATGTTCTACTGGTTTTTGCTTCAGGCTAAGAGCATCCAGGTGGTGAGTTTACATTGCCCTACTTCACTAACTTTATATGAGGTATAAATGACTTAAAAATGGATTTAGTCTCCTCACCTTTAAATAGGCTTTTGAGTATTTTACTAGTTTTTGTAAATTATTCCTCTTGAGGAAAATTTATGATGAACATTGTAACTTCTAAAAAAGAGAAATCATTAAATCATTAATTATTAAAAAAATACTCAACAAACAAAAATCACCCTGAAGATCAGTAAGTGGGTTTTTTTCCCCTTTTTTTTTCTCAATTTACCCAGGGTAACCTGGGAAAGAGTATTTAGGTTTTTTGTCACATGTGATTTAAGATCACTGTAATGCCCAACCATTAGCCCTAGGTGAGAAACTGAGGGAGGGAAAAGTGTTCTCCCTTTCATTTCTCTTTCAGATACTATGTAATCAGATACATAGTAGCAAATTAAAGTCTCTTAAATCATTCCAGAAGACGATTAACCTGTACTGTTGTGTTGTGAGTACATTTGGAGTCATTGGGTAGTTCCCGAATGGTTTCCAGGCCCGCTTCAGGAGCTAGCTTGTTCCAGGGGCTGTTCCCAGCAGGCACTTTGCCTATAGCCAGCTGCCTTGAACCACAGTTTGCTGGTTGTGGATGTGAGCTATTCAGTGCTGCTTGCCTGGGGACATTCCCAGGCACTTTTTTATCTTTCTAATATACTTACAGCCTATGTGTATTTTATAGTAGAAGTTTATCCTACTTTTGTAAACAATCGATTCTTTTTTTTTCATAGTGTATTAATTTTTAATTTTTTTCTATGAATCCCAGAGCATCATTAAAAAAGAAGACTGAAGCCTGATAATTTGAACATTTTTGGAGGAGAATGTTATTAAATACCTCTCCCCCACATTCTTCCCAGCTTCTCTATCTTAGCTTAGTATTCACCGAGCTATTGTATGAAGAGGATGGGGAAGTAGGAAGAAAATGATACAGGCAGTGGCTGTATTAGCTGTCTTTTAACAGAAAGAAGCAGCTACCACTGATCTTTGTATAGACACCAATTTAGTAATCATGTCTGAAGAACCTCTACCAAATCAAGGTTCATAGACAAGAAAGGTGAAGGAGTTACTGTTTTGTGTCTGGCAGCATAAGAAATACCCCCAGCTTTTCAGCTTGCTTGAGATTAAGGTGCTTCAAGGTTTGTACAGCAGCATATTTTTAGATACCTGAGGGATGTTAATGCAAAAAACTTGAAGACCCTATGAAATAAAGCAGTCCTAGAGCAATGCAGGTATTTAACAGAAGCTTTCAAGATTGCAATTTTGGAATTAGTCATATATTCCCAAGTAAATTTCACTTTATGTCCCTTTTGAGTATGAGCCTTTTAAGTCTCTTCTAGGATCACACTAGCAGAAATCAGGAATTAACTGTATTCAAGTCTGAGTGAGAACTAAACATTAAGAAAATAAACAGTACTTTTAGACTATCTGTATATAGGAATGTAGAAGAAACGGTTATTATATGGCTTGGAATTTATTCCTCTGTGCTTTCTGATACATGTAATGATGACAATGTTTGCTAAAAATGATCAAGAATAGCAGGGATTCAGAAGCAGATGTCAGCTGAAGAGCAGATGTCAGTTGCAGAGCACATGTTGGTGTTAGATATTTCATATTGAAATTCCAGCAAACTGGCTTAAAATAAAAGCATATCCAGTTGTTACAGTAAGTGTGATACATACATTCATTTTGCAGATTGCTGTTCCAGGAAGATGGTCTTGGAAAATGGTGATTCTTGTGCTCTGGCAATCCTTTACTACCTTTAGTAATCATTAGCCACCTGTAAAGATGAGAACCACTCTTGCTCACGTTTAGTTCATTAAAGTCTCCAAAGTTCTGTGGAGTGTTTTCAAGGCGATCTAGATGATTTCTTAATGGCTGAACTATGGGTGCTGTTTCAGAAGGTTTATGTTAGTGTTACTTCAGATATCTAGCATAAAGTGACCGGCTGAGCTCAATACGGTTGCATGAAAGCAAATGAGAATAGTTTTGCTGTGATCATACGTGATAACATGTTTCTATTTTCTTTGAGACAGGCAGTGAAACACATACATATTTAGTTTTCAAGTTAAATTTATGTGGCATCTAATGTAATTTTGCAAAGGAAAACATATTTTGAAAAAAGAGAATGCCTGGTTCGTCTTGCAGCAGCTATGGTGGGGCTGGTAAAGGAGCAGAGGAAAGTCTGCCCTTATGTGTGTTAAGTGGTATAAGGCTAAGTGAAAATTTCTGCATTTACCTTTAAGAAAAATAAAAAGCGTAACTGCTCTGTGCACTAAACGATTAAACCATGAGCATTAACCAATACTGTTTGTTCTTAGAACAAAGTTGTCTTGATCTTTTTATGCTCTCAGGAAGAAATTTTACCATGAGGGACCCCAGCAACCACAACCATCACCATCAGAGTCCTGGCACTGTCTCCATTGCTCAGCCTCTTGGAAGCTTTGGCCTGAATAATATGCCAAAAACCTCATCCCTGCTGCAAACCGAAGTTGTGAAAACATTGCTATGTGCTGAACGAGAAGCAGCTTTTACCAAGGAATTTAAAAGTAAGATTTTTTTTTTTTTTAACTGCCTAAAAAACCTAATAGTGGATGCAAGGGCTATACAAGACGTACAAAGGAAAAATAAAGTAAATAATAATAATAAATAATAATAAAATAATTAAATTTTTCAAAGCACAGTGTGTTCTACTCTCCTGTGTCCAAATTAGAAACATTTTGTTATTTTGATGTAATTAGCAAAATAACTCCATATCATTTAAAATGTCTCCACACAATAATAGCACAATCAAATGTCTTCTGGATTTAGATGAAGAAATATGATTCAAAAACATTGATGAATAGTCTCATGTAGCGTAATTTAAAGGGAAAAGTGGAAATGTTCCTGAAGATGCGCTGTTCTTTGTGTAGTTGACTTAACTTGTAACTTTGTGATTTCAGTATTACATTTTTATGTTGATGGCACATTAAACCCTATCTGTAATACTCATACAATTTGAACAGTGCTTACTGCACTTTGATCTAGTATGTTTGCTTCTACCTCCTTTGATTGCACTGCAGAGGGCTGACCATGACTGAACACAGCACAAAGTCAGAATGGTCACCTTAAACTGCTACCATGCCCAGTGTCAGGTAACGCTTTTGCACTGAAGTGGCTAACAGTGCTAGGTTAGGTCTGCAATGGGAGACAGTAAGAAGCAGATCAGAGATGAGGTGCCTAATCAGTGTCAGCCACTGTAAACTGAAAGTGTATCCACAATATAAAGCAGTTCTCTATGCTTCTGCAAGTCTATACATAGGCCCTGCAGCTACAGTGCAAAGGATTAAGTAAATCCTGGATGTGAGAATCCTCTGCAGAAAATGCTCTGTTATCTCACTAGGGTTTTTTTTTTTGTTTTTCTGTTGTTTTTTTTTTAATAGAAGCAAATAGTCGCAGTATATTAAATGCTAGGGCAGAATTTGGAGGGAAGTGGTCTTTAAAGTTACAAAAAATAGATGGTGTATTAGATTGTATTTGCATTTATAGATCAAAAAACCCAGGTTGAACTGCCCACTGATACAAATTGAAAAGTTATAGGTTATCGCTTAGGAGAGTTACTCTCTACCGAACAGATGAACAGCCACATTGATGTTTTCTCAAATACAGATCTAGTTATAGTTCTGCTTACCAAGGTGATGGTCTTGTAGCATGCATGGTCCTTGCCACCCTGTTATCTGAGTGCTCAATCCTGTGTGGAAACTGTTATGGCAAGAGTGTGGAGTCATTTTTGAGCAAAGGTTACCACTAACAGACTGTGGGGAACATGCAAAATTTAAAGAGTCATACTACAGTAAATATTATAAATTAGTAAATTGGAAATTTATGGAAATGTTCCCTACATACATTTTTGTTTATATCTACTACAATTACCCTCTTAACTGAAGGAAAAAACTGCTTAACATGCAGTATAATCCTTAAAAAATTTAACCACCAACAGTTTCCACATCTCTCACTTATAGAACCCAAACCTTTTGCATCCAGTTCTGGGAAGAAGATTTTCGGGTTTCATAGTCTGACAGAAAATATGTTTTGAAAGCAAACTATAAAATGCAAACTCCTCCTTAAGAAGGAAATTTCTTTAAAAACAAGTGTCCCAGGATGTGTGTTTAATTGAGCCTCTTACATGAAGCTTTGGAAGTAGCATGAGAAGCACCATAGATGGCTATATTTTTTTGCCCTCTACATTTGTTTCAAAAGAACCGGGCAGATATGCAATGCCTTTGCTGCTTTCACAAGAATCATAGAATCAACTAGGTTGGAAAGGACCTTGAAAATCATCCAGTCCAACCATTAACTCAACATTGACAGTTCTGAACTACACCAGATCCCTCAGCACTACGTGACCCGACTCTTAGACACCTCCAGGGATGGGGACTCCACTACCTCCCTGGGCAGCCCATTCCAACTCCTAACAACCCCTTCTGGAAAGAAATGCTTCCTAATATCCAGTCTAAACCTTCCCTGGTGCAACTTGAGGCTATTACCCCTTGTCCTATTGCTTATTACTCAGTTAAAGCGACTCATCCCCAGGTCTCTGCACCCTCCTTTCAGGGAGCTGTAGAGGGCGATGAAGTCTCCCCTCAGCCTCTTCTTCTCCAGACTAAACCCCCCCAGTTCCCTCAGCCGGTCCCCGTATGACCTGTGCTCCAGACCCTGCACCAGCTCCGTTGCCCTTCTCTGGACACGCTCGAGTCATTCAATGTCCTTTTTGGAGTGAGGGGCCCAAAACTGAACACAGGAATCGAGGGGCGGCCTCACCAGTGCCAGTACAGGGGTCAGATCCCTTCCCTGTCCCTGCTGGCCACGCTATTGCTGACACAAGCCAGGATGCCATTGGCCTTCTTGGCCCCCTGGGCACACTGCTGGCTCCTGTTCATCGGGCTGTCAATCAGCACCCCCAGGTGCCTCTCTGACTGGCAGCTCTCCAGCCACTCCTCCCCAAGCCTGTAGCGCTGCTGGGGGTTGTTGTGGCCCAAAGGCAGCCCCCGGCATTTGCCCTTATTGACACTGCCCCAGTTGAGCTCAGCCCATGGCTCCAGCCTGTCCAGGTCTCTCTGCAGAGCCTCCCTACCCTCGAGCAGATCAACACTCCCACCCAGCTGGGTGTCACCTGCAAACTGACTGAGGGTGCACTCGATCCCCTCGTCTAGATCATCAATAAAGATGTTAAACAGGAGTGGCCCCAAAACCCAGCCCTGGGGGACACCACTCATGACCAGCTGCCAACCGGATTTAACTCCATTCACCACAACTCTTTGGGCCTGGTCATCCAGACAATTTTTTACCCAGCAAAGTGTGTGATCATCCTTTACTTCACTCTAAATAAATTCTGAATGTAAAGCTCAGTTTTATAAATTGGCTTCTAACTAGTTTACTTTCTGGGCTTCGCTAGTACTGGAAAATGATAGCAGAGTAATTAATTTCAGTTTTCTTGATAGTCAATCTTACCTTCTTGTATTGTACACCAGCACAGTTGTGATGCTGAAACTGCTGACTTGGCCGGAGAATATTTAAATCCAAATGAATCGCTCCAGTAGAATGAAACCAAGCTAGTATGAATGAATGAAACCAAAAGTATTTCAATACCTCCTAGATAGGTGTACAAGTGGGCTACTAATAAACATCGCATGTGCATATTTGCAAGAGTCTTCCATTTGACTTCAAACTGCAAACTCCTCAGATGAAGGATTTCATATGCCTCTTTGAACTGGTCAAAGATACTACTTTGGTATTAGTCCAATTAAAAAATCTAGCCCATTGTAGTATTTTTCCAGTGATATGTTTAAAGCTCCATTTAATTATAATGCAAAGAAATCTTGCCTCTTCTTGAAAACTTGCCATGTGTTTTGTGCTGCGTAGTACTCCAGTTCAAAGCCTCAGATTCTGCTTAGGCTTAGATAATTACCTCAGAAACTAGTTTCACTGGAAAACTCTACTATTCTTCACATTTTTGGAGGAAAGCTGGAGAAGATGATGACTCTGATTTACTGATTGAAAAGTCAAGATGTAAACTGAGAACCCCAAGTTTAATGTAGTTATTTGGCATGACTTAAAGGAGCTTGATTCTGTATATCTGAATTTTTTAGATTGTTTATTTTTGAAATAGTGTCTCATCATCACCATTAATAATGGTGATAATAATATGGAAGAGAAGTACTTGGAAATGTTTAAAAACACCCCAACAAGCAAACTACAAAAAAAGTCCCCTGCCCCCCCCAAAAAAAATCCTCCCCCCAAACATGTAATATATGTGTTTTCCTTGCTACCTATAGCAGGATATTCATCAACTACACAATATCCCCATTTATATGACTGTAAAAGACAGGGCAATAAACTATATATATTTTTTGTGTTTTGTTCTTGGAAGCAAAGTTAGATTGCAGACAAATGCTTCTAATCTTAATCTTTTCCCGTCTCAGGGGTATCTCAAGGTACTGTTTTCTCTATGGCTTGCAGACAAAATATTTAGAAGTATTTTCCAGTACTGTAAAGTTCCAGGCATTTTCTTTAGGTACTTACATACTTCACAAAGAAGCACATAGTTCTGTCAGCAGAATTTACAAAGCTATATTTTCCATTAACTTTTGCATACCATGACTGAAGTATAGGTTTCCTCCATCTGTAAAAACTTACTTTCCAAAATCGTCTACCTGCTCTTACTTGACTGTTGGCAGGGTAGAAGGTAGAATGTCACATGACTGACTCAGAGTTGAGTTATGTGGCCAGCAAGAGCCAAACAAAATTCACTTTTTAGGAGGCCCAAAAGGAAGAAAAAAAAAACAACAAAAAAGCAGCAGCTTTCAAGGACAATGTGCCATGGAAGCCAATTGTAAGAATTTAATGTCTGTATTGCTTACCTGGCAGTCAGGTTTTTCTGAAACTGGCAAATCATTTTAAAAACAACTAGGTGACTGTGATTGAGTGGAACCATAGACTAATGTAGGTTAGGTGGGGCCTCTGGAGGTCTTTAGTCCAACCTCCTGTTTGAAGCAGGACTAGCTTCGAAGTTAGATAAGGTTGCTCAGTGCCCTATCCAGTCAAAATCTGAGTATCTTCAAGGACGGACATTCCACAACATGTCTGTAAAACGTATTTGTATGCTTAACCATGGTCAGGGTGAATATTTTTCCCCATATATCTAATTGGAATCTTGCTTTTTAAAACTTGTAACCACTGCCTCTTTTTCTTGTGTATAGAAACCTTGTTTCCTTAAAGAGTCCTGGCTAAAAGTAAACTGACTCATAGTGAAGAGCTTTAAACACTGGCATTCAGGCCTTTTTACTTTATAAAAGAAGTTGTAAAAAAATCCTTCGGTAACTGACCCATCTTAGTTCATCAGCTGAACTATAACATTTTTATCTGCTTTGGTGGTCCCATGGAGATTGAAAGAAGACTAAATCAAACTGCTGTAGGTAATCTACCTAGAACACATCTATCTTACCTTACTTGTGAAAGCGATAAATAAAAGGCAATGTGATAAACAGCAAGCTTCAAGAAGCAGTGGCTTTAGCTGCTCCTTTTCTTCAAACAGAGAAGACAGGGTTTTTTGACACTGCAACCTAGTAATGTCAAATGAAAGCATTTAGGAGACTACCTGATGATCCTTACCTTGGTGAGTATTCCAATTACATCACACATATGTTTTTATTCAGCAGTGACTTTTAACAACATTGGTACTGTCAGAAGGTGCTCTAAGTCCTTCTGGCCCTGTTGTAGCTGTGCTATGAAGTATCTGGTCATTATAGTCCATTAGGTAGCTTCCAGACTGAAATTATTTTTTTATTTCATAAGATGTTATAAATAACCTTCAGTTTTTTTCAAAGGGTTGTAACTACCAATGCAAAAAATGAAGCATGCATAATTTAGGATCACTTGATAAAGTAAAGTAATTCTTGGAGAAAAAAATACTTTCAAAATTGGGGGTGGGAGGATGGGGGGATGGAGAGTAGACATAGATGATCCCAAAGCAATAGCCTATATCTTTCAGGGGATGGACAACTTGAGTTCAGGAGACAGACTGGCATGGTATGTCTGATTGTTAGAAAAAGATCACTCCTTATTGATGTGTTTGTAAAGGCAGAGATAGAATTCACATGAGGAAAAAAGAATTAAGAACTGTATCACGTGAAGTGAATCAAGAACTGTGGAGAGACCTGGAGAAAAGCAAAGGCATTTTGAGGGGGATAAAAAAATTGCCAGGGAAACATCATATTTCATCAGAGAAAGAGCTAATCTTGCAGTTTGTCCACAGACATCTCTTTGTCCAAGACACCAAGTCTTGATTACCTGAAAGAAAAGTTATTTTCAAAATTACCACTAGCATGGGCAGAATTCATGTGCAGCCTTTTAAAGAGTCAGAGGATCAAAAAATGTTGTTTATGTGAGATGCTGCTGTCATTTTCCAAGGCCTTATTTGGTGTGAATAGACATGCCTGTTGGGACTCCTGGATTGTGACTGGGCTTCTTTGTGTGTAAGTTCTTGGGAGGAGTATGGATAAGACTCAAGAAACTCAGAAGCTCTTAAGACAGATTGTTGTTCTAAATACTCCCATGTGCACTCTAGATCAAACGCTGTCACCTTTAAATGTGTTGTTCTTAGATCTTCTCTTTTGCGTATGCATCTGCAGGTCATGTCTAGACTAGCTGCACAGAACCAGATTCATTTGAGTCAGAAGAATAACATCCCCTGTGACTTTGCCACATATACTGCAAATCAGTTTGTCTTTCCCTCAGATTAGATAATAGTCTTTGCCTGTTTTACAGAAGTATTGAAACTGTATTACTGATACCCGTAAATTCACTCAAATACATTGCTTAAACTGCAAGAGCATTTGAATTCCTTTTACAAAGAATTTTCAAAAGTACATTAGCTATAAAATGTTTAACCATATCTCTGGATGGTTCCAGCACTTTCTTGCTTGGAAAAAGTAAGACTGATACTGGTGTGATAGCCATTTTTAAAAACTGATTTTTCAGGGTTATTTTAATGATCAGAGATTTGCGGCTGTGCACAGAAGTGGCCATCTTTGGTGACTAACCTTTATTCATCTGGAGATTCTCATCTAATATTTATATACTTGCACCACTAATTGAGATTCTCCTTAAATACAATTTTCTTAGCAGCCACAGTGACAAGATCTTGTAAAGCTGTAACAAATGGAAAAACAAGTTGAAACACGTTTAGAATGGTTTCAAAACTGTAAGGCTAAAATAGATGCCAACAGAGACAGTGCCAAGCAGTGTAAAAGGTACAAGCTTTTAGAAAACTCTCTTCTCTTAGAATAGTATTAATATCAGGAATAATTAATAAATAGATATTGTTTTATAGGTTTAATTAATAGAACACAGTTGCTCTAGAACAATACTGACAGTTCAGTGCATATACTGCTCATTTGTACAGTCCTCATCACGGCTAGCTTGAAACCCAGTCAAACTTAATTACTAAAACTTATCTGTTAAAGGATTTCACCAGACTGTGGGTACCTCTAGACTTGCTTTATTAACAACTCAGAGTTGGGCCATCACCTTGGTGTCCCTGTTGAGCTCAGTTTCTGCCAGTTTATTTTATTAAAAAATCCCCAGACTTACTTTTAAGATCTCTCTTACCTGAAGGTGTCCTTAAAACTATTGTATGATCTCCCGTCCAAGCATTCCTGTTTATGCCCTTTGAAACATCACTTCTAGGTGAGTGTGTAAGTTGACTTCCTCCACTGTGACTGGCCACAGCTTCATAGACGGTAAAGACTGTGTGAGTAGCATTGTGATGTAACCTCTCAGGTGGGCCTTGCATTCAGCCTGCCAATCTTTGTTGTAGTCCAAGATACTTAAATATACTGTAGACATCAGAGCATGCTTTTTGTTCCATTATGTACTGTGCATGAGTCTTCTGAAGATGCACCAAACATGTAAGATAGCGAATGCAGTCCTGTTTTCATTGGAGTCAGAAGTTTTGCTGTGGAGGTTGTGGGTGTGGAACAACATACATCCTTACTCACTTTATTTATGTTTCTGAACACAGACCTCTCTCTTTTAATAGCAATTTGTCACTTCACTGCTTTTGGTGGTAAGCTCCTGGAAATCAGGAAATGGTAGGGAAATCCAGACCAAGACATGGAGTTAAAAGATCTGATACCTACAAGATACACTGCTTGTTTTAGCTTTGGGACCTACCAATATTGGCAGTTCAGTGAATATATTTGAATTTTGGAATCAGTGTAGGTGACACAACTGGAAGACTGTGGTAAGAGAGAAAGACAAACTCTTGGGATGGCACATGGTAGTAGCCCTAAAGTAAGTGCAAGCTAAATGACCAAATGGTGTCACTTCAAATGTATTTTGTCTGCATTTTGACAATGATTTATTTTGACTGATCTAATCAGCCTGAAACACATAGCCTGTTCTGCTTCTTGAGACACTTGAATGTGTGTGAACACTGGTTTTTGTTGGTTTGTTGGTTGTTTTTTTTTTTAAAAAAAAAGGACATCCCTACTTTCCTGACAGCCCTCCCTCTCTTGATAACATCTGTTACATGTGACTGTTCTGCCCCCACTGGCAGTTTCTGTATTGGTCTGGTTGTGGCAGCTGAGAAGCTCTGATATTTTTGTGCAACGGTACTGAAGAACAAAAGTGTGGATGAAAGATGAACAAAAGCAACCAGCTCTGAAAACCACAGTTTTGTGTGCATTCTGTGCTGTTAGAAAGAAAATGTCTTGCAACATTTGTTACTGCTGGTTCCTTACAGTGTTTCTTTCTTACAGGTTTTAACAGTGAAAGCTAAATTTTCAGCTTCTGCACTGACACAGGTGCCTAGGTTTATGCACTGCAGTAGTTGCTTCAGTCCAGCAGATGTTTAAATGTTGCAAATGCACATTGTTCAGTCCTGCAATTTCTTCTACACAGGTGTATGCCTTCCTTTTTATATAGTCCTTTCAGAACTGTAAGAAGGGCGTTCCCTGTGATGGATTTGTTATTTTGAGGGAAGTACACTAAATTTACCCATTTGTAGACGTAACACGTAAAATTCCATCAATGCTGAAGAACAGCTGTGTTTTCCTGTTCTATAATTGGAAATGGTTACTTCTCATGCTAGCCACCATGAAGTGCAGTATGGCTCTTGTCTCACTGAAGTCTGGTTGCAAGTGAGGGATACTGATAAGATGGCTGAAGTCTTATGCTACAAGATTCCCGGGACACATTACAGATTCCTAGGGATTGTTAACACTTAGTGGTTCTAACAAGCTGTTAGAACTTCTGTTGATGAGGGTGCCAGTGATTGCTTTTCATTACTCTGATATACACTCTGTAATTATTTGCATTCATTTTCAACAGGCTCTTCTGTCCAGTTCAACTCAGTGGAAAGTTTGTCACGTTTTCTTCAATTCCATGAAGTAGTAATGGTATGTAAAGAGGAGTTTCTACCATGTCCTGTAATGGAAAAGCACTGGAATTTCTACAAAGCATGTGAAGATTTTGGATTCTAAAGACTTCTTGAGTGCTAACATTTTTTTCTTCATCGTCACTTAAAAGAAAACATATAAGCTTTTAGAACTAAGTGCTTTGTTACTGTCATTTTGATAAATCATTTGCCCAGCACTTGGAATGGACTGAAGGATTGTTTGGGTAAATGAGGAACAGGGGAGTAGCAGGTGAGGGTAATTGTCAGTATTAAATTTTGTGCTGTGAGATTAAGAAATGGGGAAGTAGATGAGGATTGTTATACACTGGTACTTACTGTGAATTATATTCCAGGTTGATAACTTCATTTGAAATTCCACTGACTTCAGTGGCTGCCGATGCTTGATGGGGCAGCCCAGAACCAGATTGGTATTGACACCAAGAGTTGCTTCCTGCACCTAAAGCTGGAGCCACTCTGCCTGGGCATGTACTATCAGAAATAGCAGCATGTTTGTGTAATAATATAAGCTGTTAGGTTAGGCAAAAAATCAAGATGGGCAGCTTTGAAAATCACCAGCAGATTTGCTTTATGTGGTTTGGATATATACAAACATTTGAGAAGGGGACGGGTGCTGGGAGAAGTTACAAGAGGAATCTGAGCCATTGGAAGTGATCAGGGAAATTCCATTCATGTCCCAGCCAAGTCTTTCTGATAGACAGAATATGTGCTGGCATATGACAATAAATGCAGTTAGCTTGTTTGTGGAACATGAATTTTTCCATTTAACAACATCTTAGAGATTCATCCTGATCTCTGGAGGATTTATATTTGTTTTAATTTTACAATGTGTGAACTGCCTTGGTAGCGTATTTATAACACATTTGACTGTCATGAGAGTTATTGGCATTCAAATGGCATTCTTGCTTTTTCGTTCTCTGGATTATAAAAAGAGAAGAAATAATAGCACCTGCTACTCCTAATTTCAGTGAATGGGATGAGAAATATCTCCTGTCAATACATAACAGCCTCAGCTAGCTATTTGGAGTGCGAAGAGCTATTCTGCAGAGATCTGATTAGCGTCTTAAACAGAAGGTGGTTTAGGGAAGAGTGGGGGGTCTGATGTGCAGGGAGCTAATACTGTGCCCCAGGATGTATGAGCAATGGTAGCCTGATGGGCTGTAAGGATAAAGAAATGCACACTGCCTGGAAGTCAAAAAAGTTAAAGGCTACTGAGTGACAGGTAGTTTCTAAAGGTCAGTTTCCACACAGAAAGAAAATGGAGCAATCTCACAGATGTTGCAGCAAAACAAACCTGAAGGTGTATTGGTTTAAAGGAAATGTTCGTTCAAATATTACACTTCCACTTTCACTGAAAAGTGAAAGACTTTTGACTGTGAAAATGACTACTGAATTACTTAAACGTTTGTGTGACATTTTTACTTTGTTACAAGATGTTTAATAAAATTAATGTATGAAAACTGAGAGGATTTGACAGCAATACTTCTAGTTCATTACGTTAATGTGATTACATGACCTAAGGCAATCCTAAGATACAGTGGCAGAAAATCTGATTGATTCAAGCTAGTCAGAGAGGTAAAAATGCAAAGTGTTACATGAAAATCCCTGATTCTTACGCTATATGTAAAAGTGACCTTTTTTTTTTCTTTTCAATATTTATATTACATACAAGCATCTTGAGAAGGGTGTTAGCTTGAGAACATATGTTTAATATGACTAACAAATGTAGGATTCTGCTTCCCACATCTTAAAACCGTGAATTTTTCCTATTCTTCCTACTGGAATATTTTTCTTAATATAAAGACCCATTGAGGGATGGGAAGAATACCATCATGAATAGGGTGTCTTGTTTTCTCTGTTTAAATTTATGCTTTCTAAGTGTACTTTTGCATAAAAATATAAGCTGTTATCACAGGTCAAAGATAGGCAGCTATTAGTGATCCTAACTACACAGCAGAGTAATAAAGCTTCTGCTCACAAGTGGCAAACAGCAATGGTTAGTCCTCCGAGCCCCTCCTACTCCATTCATGATTCAGTTATTTTATTTAGTAACTCCCTTCTCCACTCCTAGGCTGTGAGTTAGCACATATTCTGTGTGGTGCAGGCTAAAGTAAAAAGGATATAAAATGCAAAGAATACAAAACCCCTGGCATTCTGTCTGCTGTTAATATTCAGATGGGGAATGAGAGGAGGAAGAGGTGATGCAGTGAATAAAAGCCATGAATTCAGATTCATATTACCACAGATTATTTATTTATTGCTGAGATGGAGTTAAAAAAATCAGTGGGAAGATTAATATCAGTGAGGAAGAATGTGAGGCACAAAACAAAAGGTTGAGAGTGAGAAGATAAGCAGCTGAGAGGCAGACAATACAACACAAGATTCATAGATTTCAAGGCCACCAGGGACCAATATGATAAGCTGACCTCTTGAGTAACACAGGCCAGAGGCTATGAAAAAGTATAAGCAGGGGAGACATGGGGAAAAGAGAAAAGAAAGAAAAAGATGCAGATAGAGCTATATTCAGTCTAGGTAGAGCATCAGCACAAAATGTTGCACCTTTTAGCCAGGCAAAGCTGAACTATAGCCAGCAAGAGCAGTTAAGGGAATCATGGGAATGAAGGCCAGCTTTGGAAAGATATTTAAAGTACTGTAAGGTGCATATACACCTGGGGTTTTTGATGGTGGAAATGCAACTAAGGAGGGGGGGAGAGGCAGAAACAGTGCCGGAGTAATGTTTCCAGCCATAGGAATTTGGATAAATTCTTGGGAGAGTTACACTTGCAGTTGGCAAGTGTTTTGTCATTATGACATGGGGTCAAAGACTTTTTTTCTGGTTTTCAAACCTTAAAGTTAATTGGAAAAAAACCACCCTGTTTAAATTATCAAGATAACAAACAACTGCATACATGAGATATGCAGGTTGCTTTTCTGTTCACCTGTAGTCAAATAACCAGTTGGGTAGGAAATCATATCTAGATGATCTGGAATTTTAATTAAGTTTCTAACCATATCAAGAAAAGAAGCTTAAACATGACACAGGAAGGGAGTAAAACATTTCAAAGATGGAACAGGATTCAAAGAACTGTTAAGTTTTTCATATATATATATATATATACACACACACTTTTTTGGGGTTGGGTTTTGTTCTTGTTGTTGCTATGACCCTGGCTTCATCTCTGGGGGAAAGTTTTTTTAACACTTGCACCAATATTGTAGCAAATCTGCAGGTGAGTTGTCCAGCAGCTGTGTCCGTTTGATTTCACTTTGGTTTCCGTGGAAGGAGCTCAGGCCTGCGGTTACAGATAACTCGGCTGGAGTGGTTTAAGTGATGAGCAACCTTTAGGCGAGCTGTCACAGCTGTGCCCAGCTGCGAGCCTTGTGCCGCGGTAGTAGAAGGCGCTCCCCGCCCTGGGGCGGCCTCTTCCAAATTTCCCACCGAACTCGCCCACCAGGCATGCATGCCCTCGGAGGGCAGAGCCGAGCAGCTCGGCCTGACCTTAAAGGACCGGCCTTTTGCCTGGAAGCCGCTGCGGGACTGCAATATTCCAGTGCAAGGGCAGGCCGATCCACCGTTAGCGGAGGTTTAAGGCCAGACCGCCGCTCAGTAGTTCAGAGCTGCAGCCACCGCCGGTCCCCGCGGCTCGCCCGTGTGTGCTTTCCCGGGGCAGCCGAGCAGAGGCCGCTGCCGCCCCGAGGGAGATGGTAGTAGGTTTTTTTTCTCATTATGGGGTGAATAGACTTACTAATATCAGAGCAAGGTTTGCGGAAGGAGACCTTAAGGGAAACTTCCCTTGAGGTTAGCTCATCCACTGTGTCACACCTGAGGGATCTGCTCCAGTGAACATCCTCTGACATTCCAAATATCTAGTTCATAAACCAGCCTGTTTCATTTTGAGTTAGGCAAATTTCCTTAATAGTAACCTTTTAAAATAAATAAACTTCCTTAATAATAATCTTTTTTCATTTGATAGCCTGGGAGAGAAACAGCTGAGGGGTAGATATGGTAGATAAACTTGTAACTGAAGTGGAGGCAGTGAACAGGAAAGAGCTGCTTGCTCTCTTTCAGGCCAAGAATTACAACAGTTGAGTGATGCTGGGAGGCAAAAGATTGGAAACAAGTAAGACAAAGTGGGTTTTTACACAATACTCAGACCAGCTGTAGGGTGTTTTGTGTCCCACTCCCAGTCTACTGGATGTCAGAAAATTTATATGTGTTCAAAAGAAATTGGATTGAAGAAATTGAAATTTTGTGAGAAGTAGAAAGTTGTAACCCCTGGCTTTAGAAACTCCTGAGCTGTAAGGGAATGGAAACTGACAGAATATCTAAAGATATTGGAGAGTACTTCTGCTCTCCTCTTTCCTTCTGCTCTTTCTCTTCTTTCCACCTATCCACCATTCAGTACTCTGAGATAACATCCTGGATGGGCCCTATGGATGTGATGAGCCTGCTCTTCCATGCATGTAGCTTTTCTGAGATGGTCATAGAATGGTAACTGAAATGCTACTAAATTTGTGCATCTATGGGTTTTGTTCTTATATATCTAATACTGATGGGTTTTGGTGCTGTTCTTGTGTGTTTTTCTGTGTGCTACCTATCTGTAAAGGCATTTAAAGATCCTTAACAACCCTAGCTAATGCTTTTTGACATGTGATTCATATAAATAAGCAGCTCTGAAGGACTACAACTTTTTGAAAAGCAGTAATGGTGATAAGGGCTATTCAGTTTTGAATTGCTTGTGTTGAAACAGCCCTTGTGCTAGGATTACACTGGGGATGCAGGAAAGGCGACCAGACACTGAAAACTATTTGTGTGCTGGGTTCTGTGATTGTTGTGGAGGATAACCTGTACTGTGCATGCTATTTTTCAGCCTAATATGTGCAAATTATTCTAGTCAGTCAGTAGACTGTCTGTAATAATTATTTTTAAAATGCATTGTTGGCTGAGACTAGATCTCTGAAATTCTTTAGAAGAGGTCCAGGTGAGCTGGGAAGAATTAATGAAAGGCAAAATTAAAAAAGCTCAAAGGGTCAAACCCATGTGCTATTATTAGGTATAAAGAAACCAGTGAGTGCTGACGTATAGGATTCAGGAAAGCCTGGAAAATATTGAAACATCGGTTGAAAACAAACAGGTAAGTCCAGATCATGCAGATCTTTTCAGTCTGGAAGCTGTTTAGCCTGGCCAGATATGTCTGAGGGTCTCAGTGACTGTCCACAACGTACAGTATGATTTCAAGAAGCTTTATGTCCACTAGCAGGACAGAAACAGGGTGTTTTCAGACTTCAGCAGAAAGATATCAGGAAACGGTGATGCAGGGATTTTGAAAAGGCGTTAGTTGTCAGTCAGAGCTAGGAGTGGAGCACCAGAGAGGCTGATGTACCTGCTTGGCCATTAGTCTGAGGTTACTCTGTACCTCTGTGACACAGTGACTTCAGATAGGAAGTGGGTAAGGAGCGTGGGCTGTCCTGATGTGGCAAGTTTGGCCTTGCTAACAGATGATGCTTAAGAGAGCTCTAGCAGGAGCTTATGGTGTTTGTGTAGCTGTTTCAGCTACAGAAAGGCATCGGGAGTCATACGGCTTTTGAGGTCTCCCAGGAAATGTCAATAAAGGAATGAAGAGACACAGCAGATGAGTCACAAAAAGCTCATTTCTGCAGCATAAGATGCAGGGCACCAAGTCCAGCATAGCAGATAAGTTTTGCGTAACTCTGTCAACAAGTCAAGCCTCATCAGACCTCTTGCTGAAAAACTTAAAAATGAAGAAGGTTTCACCAGGATTTGCAGCGTGACCAAGTGCATGTCCCTCTACTTTGAGTACAAGATGGACAACTGTGAAGAAAGAGTTGTTCTCTAATCTCATCATGCCCAGACAGATACATGATTAAACAGGTAACAGGGTAGATACCAGCCATTGGAGACCCACGCATCCTCGTGCTCTGTCATATTGTCTAACAGCAGTGTGGCTTGTGTGATACATCAGGAAGCTAACTGCTGGCTCAGGCGGGATTTCCAGCTGCTAATCAAAGACCTTCTCCGTTTGGATTGGCATTGCAGAGCGCAATTGGCCTGTGTGCTTTTTTGTTGTGCATTGTTCGTTGATGGGGGGACGTCTTTCTGTGTGCCTGCTTTTCAGGCAAGGACAAGTCAGCACCCTAAATCTTATGCAAAAGATGCACAGCTATCTGCAGACCTTTTCCAGTTTTGCATGTGCTAGGAGCTTTTGTCTCACAGGAAATTCCCATAATATCTATATTTCTATGTTCTTTTTTAAACAATTAATAATATTTGATAGCATTACTCACTGTACCCTCCCCACCACACTGAAAAGGGGTAAATCTGACCCAGCTGCTGTTATGCCACATTGTATCTTACTCATACAGGGAGTGCCAAATATTAAGTAGGGAATTCAGAAGTTCTTCTTACTGTATGAATTTGCTGTGCTGGGCCTATCGAACTAAGACAGGACTGCAAGATTCTGTGGATCTGTGATACCAAATCTCTCTTTGGAGTTTGAGATTCAACCTGCTCCTGCCACACTGGAGAACAGAGCACAAATAATAAGCTCTGTAGTACAGAGACGTGCAGTTTATAAATCCATATGAGCTGGAAGGCTGATGATGAAGAGGAGGCTGGTGTGCACAATACTTTCGTCAGAATGTGGGTGGAGAGGAGGAGAATGCAATGTATGCCTCAGGAGTACTGCTGCTGTGCTTTTCTTGAGGGAAAATACTGTGGTATTTGTTTGCGGTACATGGAAGTACTACAGTGTTTAGTTCCTCACATTTCTTTGTAACCATTACGCACACAATGCTTAGGTATAATAGCACAAAAATATATTTCTTACTACATAAGAGACATTGTATACCATATGAGGTATTTATGTATAGGTGAACTTGCGATGCAGATCATCATGTCTAAAAAGAGTTTCAGAAAGTATCACCAGGACATTCAGGATCATACCAGGAGCCCAAATTTCTGGCCTTGGCTCAGTGGCAGAGCTATTTCATCTGGAGGGGCAAGGCCTTCAAAACTTCAGAAAATGTTGGTACCTGAAGTACTGTGCAAGTCTTGAACTTGTTGAGGCTTTTGACAGAGAATTGTCACATCTGGGCACTTTTCTGCCTCTCCCCAAACTCTCTTCACCCTGCTGTAGAAGGAAATCAGGTTGCTTTGATGTGATCTGTTCTTTTTATGGTGCTATTTTTCCCCATCTTCTTGTCACTTAGAAATGCTACACAAGTAAACAAAAATTATATGCTTATAATACAGATAATGGCTTCCACATCTTATTGCAGAAAGCCTTCATACTCTCTATTTTTCAGCTAACATTTTACAATTTTCTTTCATAATCTGTGCAAGCCATGATGTCATTCTGGCTACTTCTATACATCCGACTTCACACACACTTGAAACGCCGATAAAGGTGGAGGCTGCAGGGATTGTCAGGATGGAGCAGATGCCAGGACTCTGTTGAACCGCTGAGCTGGCTGTGCCTGTGTTGATCTTCTGGTACAGAGTGTCCTAAAGAGCCCTGCGAGGGGAAGAGACCACAGCAAGTTCTGGGAGGTAGGTCTGCAACTCTTACTGAAATTATCTTGCTGATGTGACAAGCTGTGACTTTGGCAGTGAGGACTTTGACCTGGGGTAAATTGACTTTAAGGAGGTGATTTACAGTGGGGACCCACAGACAGTGGGGCAGGCAGCTTGGTGGAGAGGTGAAGGAAATGGAGAAATATTTTGAGCTGTTAATGGGAGCTTTTCTGCAGTGTGGTGCAGTTTCTCCTGCCTCCCTGTCTAACAGGAAACTTCCACCCCCTTTTACGGTGCTACTCCTTGCCAATGTACACAAGTTCTGGCCCTTTGGGCCTGATTTTTATGTTATGTGGTAGTTAGGGGGAAAAGGTTAACCCTCTCTCCACCATAGAGTAGCATTACTTTAAACTCTCATATCAGTTGGAACAAAGCTGTTAAACTCTAGATTGCCCCAAATTAGAAGTGAGTGAACTCTGTTTACGATTTCAAAATAGTTAATTAATGAAAAAAAAAATTTTGTCTTGACTCCTGCCTTTATGGTGCATTAAGTCCTTGGGAATCATGGATACTCCCATCTCTTAAAGTCAGAGAATTTAAATACTCAACATATAAGAAATCAGGCCTGAGAATTTCCATGGCAAACAATTCCTGGGCTTTCTAAGCACTTCTGTGCTTTAACAGGGCTGCAAATTTTATGGCTGGTGGGACAGAATAGTTTGGGATATACCAAGGGATTTGCCAAGAGATTTTGCTTTTCAGGCCTTCACCAGAACAGTTTCTATCAAAAGTTATTGTAAAGCAGTTCACATTAGTTGGGAATGCAGAGGAACCAGGTTCACTTCTGTCTTGTGCTTCTGTCTTCTTGTATGACCCTGCAGAAGTCACTTGCCTCTTTTTCCTGGCCAGAGAGCAGAGACACAGACTTTCTTTACCTGGGACATGGATGTGCAGAAATGTTAAATATTTTACTGCAATTATGGACATCACCGACGTACTGGAGGAAGCTAGAAGAATATCCAGCCTTTTCTATAGAAAATAAAGAGAACTGGGACTGAGAGGCAGACAGACAAGCAAAAGAACTTACTGTCAGCACAGCAGGTTCCATTGGGATCTGTGTATCCCATGCAATGAAGACTCCTCATGTTTGGCACTGGGATGAAGTTGTGTGCAACACCCATAATTGCCAAATATTTGCTGAGCCTGTGTTTCCCATGTATATAGTGAGAAGCTGTCTTTCCTCTTTCAGAAGCACAAAACAGGCTGTGGTAAACTGTAGTTATTTGCTTGGGGTGCTCTGTTGTTTTAAGTCTTCAGGATCTTAAAATTGGCTGGTTTATCATTTAATTAGGCTTAGGTCTAAAAATAATCATGTATTTTTTCACATCTCAAAATTAGAAGTCCATAAGGCAGCATGTAAGTAATTGCAGTTACTTAGCTCTTTAGTTGTCTAACATTTAGAAGAAATCTAAGTATTACATCAGACAGGCAAACAAGGGGGTGAGCTGTGTGGAACGAGGCTGCTAGTGGGCACTGCTGTGTTACAGGGGCATAGGCTGAGACTCCAGTACAGGGGAAGTGAGTGGAGAACCAGACAAGCTCAATAGAATCAATTTATCTAGATTTAATGACCATACAAGTATTCCTAGAGAAGCTCTGCTACCCCTATTAATAGACAATTTTGTGATGGAAATAACCAGCTAGCGGCAGTAAACACTATCACATGAATACATTAAATTTCCCAGCTAGCAGCACTGAATAATCAAGTAGAGTTAAAAGTTTAATTCAGACAGTTTACTAAAAAAGAAAATAAATCACTTAATGAATTACATCATTACTTTTCTCCTTCCCCAGCTTCCCAGGAACACTGTCCCCTCTACCTTCCCTAGAGACCAGCCAAGTGATTTGTATAGAGTAGAGGGAAAACCAAAAGGAACTAGCCGCATCTTTCTGCAGAGTTGGTCATGCGGACAACTTGACCAGTTTTGCATTGCTATGTAAGTGGGTGTGTATTAAACAAACAGAGATATTTTATCAGGGAGAACTTTTCCCAAAGTGTTTGCCTGGAGGAGAGGGAATTGTTCTGTGGTTCCTGCAATTATATGGTAATGGTGTTGGTTGCTGAAATACAGTGTGACCTGGTTTCCAAGAAAAGGTGTAGAAACAGATTTTGCCTCAGATGCCTTTGAGGGATGGGAGCAAGTCAGAGGAAGCAGCTGTTTGGCTGCTCTGTTTGATTTTTTTGTTGTTGTTGTTAATGCTACCAACATGGAAGCACTTACATTGTGTCTCCATTCTCCTCTTTTATAATTTCTCAACCTCTGTTCTGCTGCTCCTACTCTTCTCAACAGTCATTTCCTTTTTAATTTTTTAACACAAGTGATAAATAAGGAACCTGGTTCGTGCTCTCTGTCATCAGAAGTGCTTGTACATGAGATAGACAGCAACATGATGAGGTAGGAGCATTCCTGCTCCCCTGCATCCTCTCTTTCCGTTTCCTTTCCTTCCACAGACTTGTATTCAGACTTGACCTTTTCACTTAGCTCTTGCTCTGTGGCAAGCACAAAAGCAGATTGTCCTACAACAGCATTCGTAGCGAGTAATATGCGTTTCAGAGCAACCAAGGAGAGAGCAGTGCCTACTCACAGCCTGAATCTTCCAAGAATCCCTATTCTGGTAGCAGCCAATGTGTCTTGCCACTCCACAGTCTGTGTTAGCTACTCCTAATCTGATGTGACAACAGTTAAAGAGATGGTTCCCACCAACTGGTTGTCTGACACGACACCAAAAATTGTTTGTGGAATCTGTAGCGAACAGTAGTCACAGACTTCTTTGCTGGGTAATGCTAAAGTAGAAAATAAATAAAAATTTGACAGGGCTACATATGAAGGGATATTGTGGCTTTTGTTTTTCTGTAGCTCAATGTAGTTGGTGGTTGAGTTTGAACTTTTGCTTACCTCCTGAACAGGTCCTTCAGGAAGGATAGATAGAGCAGGGGAGCAGTGGACATTGACTGATGCATACCTTGCATTCCTCAGGAAAGTTGTGATGCATTGGTTGTTGCAGGCAGACAGGTTACAAGCTTCCTCGGATAGCCCTGCTGCTGAACCTGTTGCTTTCAGAGCAGTCTGGAGCACCTTTCCCTCTCCATGAAGCCAGCCTCCTCTGAGCAGAAATCCCTCCAACCTCCCTGGCCAAAACCTAACCTTCAAAGCAGGATTTTCATCCTTCTGCTTGCAGGGAGACTTCTGGTGTGTCTTGGCCCTACAGGCTCTGGGCTTTCTGTGATGGACCCAGGCAGTTCATGACAGTATCAGCCTGCAGGCAGCATCCAGGGAGCTTGTGGATCTCTCTAGATCCACCTGGCAACTTCTACCATTAATCACTGAAGTTCTTGTGTTTAGTGGAGCACAAGCTATATCAGAAAAGAGACAATGAAGAAAGGGAATGATGTGCTGGGGAGTTGCAAAACTCCTTGTAGTCTCAAACAAAGTGGTTGGTGAACTGTTAATAAACTAGTGTGATCTGAATACAGACAAACTGGCAACACCTCTGCAGTGTATAGGAAAGGGAGGAAGAAGACCACATATTTTGATGAGACCAATGACACATTTGCCCTTTTTGGACTCTTAATTGGGGATTTTAGTTACAAATGGTCTCTATCAAAAGTAGCTTGTTTGAACCTTCACAGTTGTTATAAATTGAGACCGCAATGGATCATAATTCAATTGAATTATTTTATTAATTATAGCAAGTAGAATATGAGCAAAGACAGCGCTGGACGGCAGGGGAGTCTGCGCTCCGCCAACTGCCGTACTGAGCAGTTCAAACAGTCCCCTTTTTATACATCTTTACTTCCGTGTTCATGAAGTAGTAGAGGTATTCTGCACATGCTTCAGTTGTTGTTAGGGGGTCGTTTTCTGTCTCCTGGTGGTCGTTGAGGCTGAAGTAAGAAGTCTTCCTCATAATTGACTCCTTGCTCATATGTCCTTATCTGGAGTTATTCTTCTTATTTCTGGCTTTTCCTGGAAATCTTGGCATTTACCTTGCACAAGCGGTGTCTGGTTTAGTTAGTGTAAGCGATTGCGGTTATCTTACCCTAAGTGGTGTCTGGTTTAGTTTGTGTAAGCGATTGCGGTTATCTTACCCTACACAAGCGGTGTCTGGTAGCTGTTTGCATAAGCGATTTCATATCTTTTGTTGCCTAGCCTTTACATTGAGCTTAACATACATTGAGCTTAACATACATTTAACATAAGTCTTAATAAACAATACCCTAGTCCATAGTTTCTCACACAGTTTTTCATGGTTCATTTTGCCCCATAGGAGTTTTTGCTAGACGGGGAGAGGGAAAAAAGAGTAGATGTAAAATGTAAATGCCCACAGGTCTGACTTTTGAATTACATAAAAATTACCTTGAATAATGCAACTGTTACTTTAAAGGAACAGCTTTTTGGAAACCGCTTTATTCCCAAGAAGGCTGTTTCCAATAGCCATAGAGTCATTTGCAAAATAGGAACAGAAGCTTCTAAAGGGGCTGGGGCTGCTTCTTCAGTGCCAGGGGTGTCCACTTCTTTTTTGCTGCAAGGCAGTCAGTTTTCATATTTTCTGGCTTGTACTGCTGATACAGGGTTGCAAGAAGTGATCGACTGTGTGGACTGCAGGTGAGACTTGCTGTGCAGACCAAGAGGAATGTGAGAGTTGGTAATGTGTTCCTGCTCAGGGTGAAGGGAACTGTAGGCTCCTGTGCAAGAATGACATTGGCATCACTGAGTTGCACAGATTGGAAGTTGCTGTTACTCTGGTACACGGTGTTTATGGAAACGACAGAAATAATAGTATGAGACACAGCAGTAAAGCCCTGGGCACTCAGTGCTCTCAGTAACTAGGGCTCTGCGTATGTAATTCATTAGGGTTTTAGTAAAGTGGAAACATGCCTTCAGTGAGGCAGCATAAGCTCAAAATCTGCCAGTTTCTCTGCTCTGCAGAAGGGAACCTGTCTGTTTCTCTGGGTTGCTGGAATCCCTCCTTAACCC